GTGATATATATACACAATGGAGTATTACTCGGCAATCAAAAAGAATGAAATCTTGCCATTTGCAACTACATGGATGGAACTGGAGGGTATTATCCTAAGTGAAATTAGTCAGAGAAAGACAAAAATCATATGACTTCACTCATATGAGGACTTTAAGACACAAAACAGATGAACATAAGGGAAGGGAAACAAAAAGAATATAAAAACAGGGAGGGGGACAAAACAGAAGAGACTCATAGAGAACAAACTGAGGGTTACTGGAGGGGGTGTGGGAGGGGGGATGGGCTAAATGGGTAAGGGGCACTAAGGAATCTACTCCTGAAATAATTGTTGCACTATATGCTAACTAATTTGGATGTAAATTTAAAAATAAAATAAAAAATAAAATAAAATAAGATTTGATTTATGTTGGTTAAGGGTCCAACTCTTGATTTTGGCTCAGGTCATGATCTCATAGTTTGTAGGATCGAGCCCCACGTTGGGCTCCGTGCTGACACTGTGGAGCCTGCTTGGGACATTGGGACATCTCTCTCTCTCTCTCTCTCTGACACTCCACTACTCACACTTTCTCTCTCTCAAAATAAATACACATTTAAAAAAATATTTTAAAAATAAAATAAGATTCAATTGCAGACCTAGAACTCCATTATCCTGGAAGGAGGAAGAAATGGTTCTAGCCCTCATGCACTGGAAGATGAGAACCTAATGCAATAATGAGATGCAAATCAATTCACAGCATTAGTGCTGGGGAGAGAAAGGACTGTGGCCTGGAAAAGAGATGCAGCCAAATCCAAAACAGAGCTCAGATGAAAATACTAAGGTTTGGGGGCTGTCTTCCTGAGATACAACTGAGGGCTGAGAGAACCAGTTAGGTTGGAGGGTCCAGTTGCATTCTGCCAAGTTCTAGGACTATCTGAGAGAGGCTAAAGAGGTAGTGCAAGCCTGTGTTTCTGAGAAAAGAATTGGAAAAGACTTGTGGTATACTGAAACCCTCCCCTTAGCAAAGTTAGGCTGTTAGGATGGGTGAGGGGTGTCGCATGGGGGCCTCTTAGGAAGAGGGAGCAGCTCATGCAAAGAGACAGCATGTGTCTTCCCTGGTTGGAGTATAGAGTTTTTTAGGCCATGGAGAACAGTGGAAAAGAAGCTGGAGAGGCAGGGCTAAGACAAGATCATGAAGAGCTATGTAAGACACATTCTATGGTTTGCACAGAGAGGAAATAACCCTATTCCTTTCACTTACATTCATAAGTAAGCAAGACTTATTCATGCCTTAAGGTCCAGCTCTCACTGCTGTCTCCTTTCCCCAAACTCTCTTAGTATGGATTGTGTTATTTGCATTTGTCTTTAGCATGTCTTGGCTTATTTTTCAGCTAGGCTTAAGTGTCTTAAGAACAAAAACCAAATATTTATTTTATATCTATATGTTTAACAATTCTTGGCACATTCATTCTTCTGAGAAACCTGTATTAGCCATGCCAAGCATGCTCCTAGGTAGCAAATAAAATAAACATCCCTCCTGCTCTTCTAGAGCAAATGAGGGCAGCCCAGGACAGATGTTCAATATGTAAGTCCTGGTCTTTTGGTAAGACTGTTAAGACTGGTCACAAAATATGCAGTTGCACTAATGGATGCCTTGCTTTAAATATCTTTATAGAGATTGCTTTTACAAATACTACACAAAGGGCCACCTGGGTGGCTCAGTCGGTTAAGCATCCGACTTCAGCTCAGGTCATGATTTCACAGCTCATGGGTTTGAGCCCTGCATCAGGCACTGTGCCAGCAGTGCTGAGCCTGCTTGGGATTCTCTCTCTCTCTCTCTCTCTCTCGTTCTCTTTTCCTACCCCTCCCCAACTTGAACTTTTTCTCTCAAAAATAAATAAACTTAAAAAGAAAAAACAGGGGTGCCTGGGTGGCTCAGTCGGTTAAGTGGCCGACTTCGGCTCAGGTCATGATCTTGCGGTCTGTGAGTTCGAGCCCCGCATCGGGCTCTGTGCTGACAGCTCAGAGCCTGGAGCCTATTTCGGATTCTGTGTCTCCCTCTCTCTGACCCTACCCCGTTCATGCTCTGTCTCTCTCTGTCTCAAAAATAAATAAACGTTAAAAAAAATTAAAAAAAAAAAAAGAAAAAACAAATACTACACAAAGAGACATCTTCATACATATGAATGTTTCTACAATGATAATTATATCTTTATTTACTTTCAGAGGGAAATTTTTCCAGATTATCACAGATCTTCCATGATTAAATAAAATTTCTATGGAATATTGTGAAGGGTGTTCCACAGTTCTTCAGTTATGAAAATGATGACATTGACTCTCAAACAATAGAAATCAATCCAAAAGATTTGCATCTAAGTTAGAAATGGAATATCTACCCACATTCTGTTTGATGTTAATTCACTTGCTCTGAATCAGGTAATAGATGGGATAAGAGTGGGAAAGGCAGTTAATTATAGGGAATTTAAAAAAGCTGCATTTAAAATCTCCATTATAGAGCGGCAATTTAGACCAAACTGCTTCAGAATGGTTTTATCAGTGCTTCTCCAGAGTGGTCCCCAGGGCAGCAGTTGGAGCGGCGCCCAGGAAGTTGTTAGCAGGTGCAGATTCCCATCACTCTCCTATGCTGCTAAAGCAGAAACTCTGGGCCTGGGTGTCTGCCCAACCCTCCAGGTGGTTTGTTGCTCACTAACATTTGAGAACCACCAGGTTTCCTCTTGCCTATTCTGGGAACCTTCACGGAAAAGAGAGTCCTTAGCAAAACTGTCCCTTATGTCATTGAACATTAGGGCAGGTGAGGCTTTAGAGAACATACAGACCAACTTTTCTGTGTTTTTTACAGATCTGGAAGCTGAAACCCAAAGATTATCAATGGCAACTAAAATTGGAGCAAAATGTGTTCTAGCATCAAAGCTGAGATACACAGGATGGACAGGCAGCTATAATTTTGCTTACTTAAAATAAATTTTCGGGGCGCCTGGGTGGCGCAGTCGGTTAAGCGTCCGACTTCAGCCAGGTCACGATCTCGCGGTCCGTGAGTTCGAGCCCCGCGTCGGGCTTTGGGCTGATGGCTCAGAGCCTGGAGCCTGTTTCCGATTCTGTGTCTCCCTCTCTCTCTGCCCCTCCCCCGTTCATGCTCTGTCTCTCTCTGTCCCAAAAATAAATAAACGTTGAAAAAAAAAATTTTTTTTAAATAAATAAATAAATAAATAAATAAATTTTCACTTTTCAAGGGTCCATTGTGTGGAAAACCCTTTATATTTAGGAATAGACCCAGATGTAGTTGCAAAACCAATCACATCTAAGGCTAAATCAAAATATTTGAAAATGTTCTGGAAAGAGAAAAAGCCTTAATTCAGTGACTAAATCGAGAATTCCCTGACCAGAAAGATCAGACTTCACATCAGATTCAAACCTAAGCCAACACTCATGGCTTCTCAACCAGTCAGAAACTAGGAATATTTCCCTGCCTTATTCAAAAAGTTCCTTAAGAGGATAAGACAGCTTTCCCAAGTAATAGTGTCGGCCCAGAGCAATGGTTAAGAACACAAACAAGCCTTAGACCACCTGCTAGTGGTAATGGTCTTGGGCAAGTCACCTTAGTTCTCTGTGCCCCAGGTCTCCATCCACCTCAGAGGACAGTGTAAAAGCTCCAAATATTAGTAGCAGTATTACCAAACCCACAGTGTGGACTGTTTGTGTGCTATTTTCTACTTATGAAAAAAGCACCTTTACTGAATGTCAGAGAGCTATTTCCATTATACTGGGTGGTGTCTATATTGGTCTAGCGACACTGATGCATCATGACACCTAAGTAGCAATAAGGGAAGGTTAAGGGCATAATTAGTGTTACAGTAGAAGGGTCACCAATTGCCCTCCATAGCAGCTCCATCTCCAACTGAGCCTCAGAGCAATGTGCCCTAACAACTAAGCAAACAGCCACAAGTGATTTGAGACCCCAAATTATATGGTATCTCATTGACAGATAAACTTTTCCTGCAAATGTCCTCACCCAAGGAAAATCTTCAAAGTATTTTGTAGCAGCCTAATAAATACTTCGTGGCTAGAAGTGTCCAGAGTGTATAATTTATCAGCTTTGTGTGTCTGAGGACAAATGCTTTGAGGATATCTCTTAAAGGGAAAAATACCCTGTTACATCTTCAACCATGGCATCCCAGTGCTAAAACCCCTTACCCTGCTGTGAAACTTGGCAGTTCGATAAGACTTGGGTGACAGATTGTACACCGTGTAGTGGTCAAGATGTCTGGAATCCAAAAAGCTTCGGATGTCATCCACCTGATTCCTGAATCCTATGTCAACATTGTCCAGAGGAAAGGACATCACTAGGAGGGATCACAGAGAGAGAATATCGGTTAAATGGGTATGCTGTTGCAATGAGCAGCAACTGAAAGCTGAGCTGTTAATAAACATGAGAAACTTACCAATAATTCTGGAGGTAACATAAGTAAAGTCTAAATCTCCCTTCGTGTAGCTAAAAGCAAGACAAGAAAGGGTGCTCATTAAAGTGATCCAAATATGCCAGGATATCCCCCTCTCGATCACTTGCCCATCATGACTTGGACACTTCATCCAGTAGGCGTTTTTACTTAGCTCAAGGCCTTCTCTCTAACAAAGGATAATTGTTGAGAGAAGCAACCCATACCCTCAGGAGCGTAAATCTACCACTCCAACTGATGTACCCCAATACCCTTTGTAGGTGACACTTCCTGAACAGAATCAATCTCAGAATAGAAAACAGTGCTTATTCATTTATTCCAGCCTCTTTGCCTGCTTGAACATCTCCTGTAAGTGTGAACAGTGAGAGGGTAGGTAAGGAAGTGATGGAGAAACAACAAGGGATATCTTTTCTCTGTCCACCAGGCCCTGGTTGGCAATTGCTGGTAAGGGATAAATTTTGCCTTTGAACAAAGATTAAAATCTTGATTAATCTTTTGGGCTTGACATTTGAATTTATGATTCAAAACTGCACATTACAACCTAAAGTGATCTTAGAATTTTCTAATACCTAAGTATAAAATAGAATTCATATGGTCTGCTTGTAAGAATTTTCATACAGCAGAAGGGTAGAAAATGTCTTCCACTAAACAAGATTCAAAGAGCTACTAAGATACAAAAAATAAATGTTTCCATTATAATCCAATGAGTATTTTTCAGATTGCATGTGCATTATTATCTCATTTAACTTCTCATTTAATTCTCAAACCAACCAAAGATATGAATCCTACCAGAGTATAAAAGTCAAGCTCAGAGAGGTTAATTAAATTGCCTAGATCACATGGTTAACAAGGGCAGATAATGCATTAGAACCCAGGATGCTGGATTCAAAAGACAGGGATGGCAACCAGTATATTTTAATATAAAAATGCACTGAGTCCTCCTGGCCTGTGCTTGTAGCTTCCGAAGGCCTCAACTTTATGGCTTCAATGACATTGCTTGGTTGATCAGATTCCATGCAATTATATCACACAATTGACAGTCCTTGAGCCAGAAAATCAGTTGGCTGGTAACCAGGTAACCAGATCCTTTGGAGGCACGGAGGTCCATTAACTTAACTGGGAAGAATGCACATACCTGGTAACAGATTGTATAACTCTGGAAGATGTGTCTTTGAGGGTGTCTTTCAAGTTGTCCTTTAAGTTACTGAAGAGCCTCCCTGCACCTCCTTTCACCATGTCGAAGAGACCTCCCCCATAGCTGGGCTCCATGTCTGGGGATGAGGCACCTGCCAATGAAAAACAGAAATGGAGCTGATACACAGACTACATGATCTCTCTTCATTCCCATAACATACGCAGACCAGGAAAGATATTCCTGTAAGTTATGCTCGCTCTCAGAAGTTACTGACTCTGGGTTACTGCAGTGCTGCTGGGCCTGGGAGACCAAGGGAAGCACTTTGCTAAGTCTCACATTTTTTAACATGAATATTAGAAAAAATGTAATTGTCCACGTGGCCTTCATTATACTTCTCTGAGACAATGCCCACATCAGAGGAAGAGCAGCTTAGCTTAGAAGTGTGTGCAGGGGCCTCCTCTGCCCTGCGAGGGAGTTGAATGTGTTAGAAGATTCATCTCATGCCTCTCCTGCTAAGTCATTCTTCATGTCCATCATGGAAAATAACCTCTCAGGGGCCTTTTAACAGTTTTTAGGATGCATGGTGATCATCAGTATTATTTATCAAGTATTTCAGTTTTTCATTCCTTACAGCTTCACAAAATTGTACCTTCTGGTCCCTTGTGGTTAGCTCAACCTTGGCACCACTGACATTTAGAGCCAAATACCTCTTTGCTATGGGGGTGGGGATGCCCAGTACATTGTAGAGTATTTAGCAGCATCCCTGGCTCCTAGTCACTAGATAGCACCAGTAGCACCCCACTGCCACCAGCTGGGACAACCCAAATTGTCTCCAGACATTGGCACATATCCCCTGGAAGGCAAAACTACCCCTGGTTGAAAACCACCACTCTAGTCTATGATATGTCAGTGAAGGTAGGTACTGTGTGTCACTCAGGATACAGCACTTAACTGTGAGTGTGAAACTCCCCATACTTCTCATTCCCTCTCTGTGTTTCTGTCCCTGTCTCTCTCTCTTTCTTTGCCCTAGCGACTGGCAAGGTTTGAGATCATGGCTGCTCTGTCCAGGACTCCCAGGTCCTGGAATAGGAAACTGTGTGGCAGAGCTCCCAGCTGACCTTCAATGAACATGCAGGATGAGTGATGACCAACCCTTTATTATTAGAAGCACCCCCATTCCATTTTGGGAATGTTCCTCATCATAACACAACTTAGCTTACAAAGGCTGATACAGGAAGAAAGAAGGAACCTGCATAGAGGAGGCTAATGTAAACAATGGCCAGGTAGCCTCTTCAGCCTAGCAGTCAAGAGCAGGAGTCATTCTCAGCTGGGTTCTGGCTCAGCCTTGCTACTCCTGTGTGACCTTGGGAAGGAAGTAACAGTCTTTTTTTTTTTTAAGTTTATTTATTTATTTGGAGAGAGAGAGCAGGGGAGGGACAGAGAGAGAGAGAGAGAGAGGGAAAACAGAGAATCCCCAGTAGGCTCTGCACTGCCAGGGCTTGAACTCACAAACTGTGAGATCATGACCTCAGCTGAAATCAAGGGTCAGAGGCTTAACTGACTGAGCCACCCAGACACCCTGGAAGTAACAGTCTTTATAAGGCTCTTTCTTCCTGACTCTAAAATTGGGATAAAAATAGTGCCTTCTTCATAGGGAAAGGTTAAATAAGTGCATATAAAACTATTAGCAAAAAACCTAATATATTTAGGGGCCAACAGACTGCAGCTAACTATTATTATGTCACACCCCGAAATTCTTATGTTATTTTTAATCATTATTCACTTTTCAACTATATGATGACATCTCTTCTTTTTTAAAAATTGTAATATTTATTTACTTTATTTTAAACTGTAATATTTATAATGGACTTTAAAATATGTTAAGGAGGGGGGTGGTGCCTGGGTGGCTCAGTCAGTTAAGCCTCTGATTCTTGATTTCAGCTCAGGTCATGATCCCAGGGTCACAGGACCAAGCCCCACTTCAGGCTCTGCACTGGGCATAGAGCCTGCTTGAGAGTCTCTCTCCTCCTCTCCCTTGCCCCTCCCCCACTTACATTCATGCTCTCTCTCTCCCTCTCAAATAAAAAATAAATAAAATATTTCAAAAAGACAGATTTCATGTTAAGTATTCATATAAAAAAATACTTCACAAGGAGATTTTTGGAGATTGTGGTAATAGTATCGTAAGTATACACACATATTTTTTTTTCAATATATGAAATTTATTGTCAAATTGGTTTCCATACAACACCCAGTGCTCATCCCAAAAGGTGCCCTCCTCAATACCCATCACCCACCCTCTCCTCCCTCCCACCCCCCATCAACCCTCAGTTTGTTCTCAGTTTTTAAGAGTCTCTTATGCTTTGGCTCTCTCCCACTCTAACCT